GTAAATAGGAAGAAAAAAAAGTGGATGAAAAAATAACCACCCGTGAGCAGGAATCGAACCTACGACCTTCGAATAACGAGTTCGATGCCCTAACCACTGAGCTACCACAGCGACCTTCCTTCCATCCACTTTTTTGTGTTTATATGTGAATTTAGAAGTAGGAGTGACAGTCAGCGCCATCTATAAGCCAAGCGACGAGTGTGAACCACTCTTTTATGCGCATGTTTGGCGTCACGTAGCGCGTGAACTTATTACGAGCGGGCAACTGATTAATGGTCCCTCGTATACAACCTAATGACACCAAGTCTGCCAGTACGAGACCCTAGTTAAATGAAAATAGGCATACACTTCTTTCCCTTATATATATATATATATATATATATATATATATATATATATATATATATATATATATATATATACATATATATATATATATATATATATATATATAGATATATATATATATATATATATATATATATATATATATATATATATATATATATATATATATATATATATATATACCCGTCACGGTGGTCTAGTGGCTAAGGTACTCGGCTGCTGACCCGCAGGTCGCGGCATCTAGTCCCGGCTGTGGCGGCTGCATTTCCGATGGAGGCGGAAATGTTGTAGGCACGTGTACTCAGATTTGGGTCCACATTAAAGAACCCCAGGTGGTCGAAATTTCCGGAGCCCTCCACTACGGCGTCTCTCATAATCAAAGAGTGGTTTTGGGACGTTAAACCCCACAAATCAATGAATCATATATATATATATATATATATATATATATATATATATATATATATATATATATATATATATCTGTTTGTGCGTGTATGTACGTGTGTGTGTGTGTGTGTGTGTGTGTGTGTGTGTGCGTGAGGAACCAAACACTAGTGATATTCAGCGCTCATGTACTTTATTTTAAGCCTTCAGTTCTTTACTGTTTCTCCTTTCCTTCAGCATTTACCTGCTTGCACTTCAAAACTTTTGCGGCGCCTGCACTTCCGATGGAGGCGAAAATGTTTTATACCTGTGGACTCAGATTTCGGTGCACCTTAAATAACCCCAGGGGGTCGACATTTACGGATTCCTCCACTATGGCGTCTATCGTAGTCGTATGGTGGTTTCCGGACGTTAAACCTCACATATCAAATCAATCAATTAGCGCTTCTAACTATTCAGTTTTGAAATGTCATCATGAGAGACCGCATTTTGGACACCTAAAATGGGCAGGCGAAACGCTGTTTTAGGTTCCTAAATCCTAAATATAGGCCTAATAAACTGACATATTTCAAGGTTTCAATGAAATACATGTGTCATCTGTGTCTATAACAGGAGAACAAACAATATTGCGTTAGTTTACGTTGGTTGAAAGACTTAATCGTTAAGCGTAGCCATGCATTTTTTCCCCGCAAGGTTCGCAGAATACGGACTCTGTATTTATCGTCCACCATGGTGAGTGAAGTGTCTACCAAAGAATAAAGATGCTTCTGATTCTATTTCTTTTGGCACGTCTGAGAAGGGTTACACAGTTGTATATAGCCATTGCAGTATCGGCCAGGAGAACCTTTTTGACTCGTATTACCTTGGTCTAGCCGCACATGCTCAACCTGTCTGTGAACACTTTAAATACCTTAGGACGACGCAGCGAGCAATGGAAAGAAGAATGGTAGGTGTAACCTTAAGAGACAAGAAGAGAGCAGAGCGGACTAGGGAACAAACGGGGGATAAGGATATCATAGCTGAAATCACGAAGAAGAAATAGACATGGGCAGGGCATGTAGCTCGTAGACAGGATAACCGCTGGTCATTAAGGGTAACTGACTGGATACCCAGAGAAGGGAAGCGGGTTAGGGGGAGACAGAAGATTAGGTGGGCCGATGAGATTAAGAAGTTTGCGGGTATAAATTGGCAGCAGCAAGCACAGGACCGGGTTAACTGGCGGAACATAGGAGAGGCCTTTGTCCTGCAGTGGACGTAGTCAGGCTGATGATGATGACGCAGGTTTGAGAATTTCGAGAAGCAAAGACGAATGCATGCACTGTGCCCTCGGGCTCTCATCTGCCAAGATTTGCGGTGCTACGCGTGTCATAAAGAGGTGAAATGTCAGACTTGACACGGCTTGACCTTCACCTCACGGGCGTGCACCCCAACAAGGTGAAGGTGATGGAATGGTCCTGCGTACGTCAAAGTACGTGACACTACGATAACTATTCGATACGACGTGTGTACTTTGTGCAATCTGTTGCCTGAACAAAAGTATGAAGGTTGACAGAAACAATAAAACACACAGATGGAATCTATGCGCTGTGCTTTTTCGTATAGAGCGAAATGCGAGACTAAGCTGCCTTCATCTCATTTGCATTGCCGTTCTCCCCAATCTCACATCGTGCTGTTAGCAGCATTCTCAACGCATAGCGTGTTTTTGGTGCATCGTCTCTTAGAAGCTTCCAGTGGTGCAATTCCGTCTATCGTGGTAAGGATACGTGATTCATGCCTGCCTCTCCAACCATGCACACATAAGGGGATTCGTCTCACACAAGCAGGCAGTACAATACAGAGAACGTCGAAACTAAAGAACACCGCTCACGTGCATGGCCTGGCATAGGCATGTCATGCGAATGTAACCTTACGCGCGCATGACCTGCCGATGCGGTCGCGTCTGTGATCCTCCCAGCTCAGAGTTGCTCCGATACCAAATAGGACAGGGAAAAAATTCGGCTTGTTAAGTGTACATTCGGCTGTTAAGGTCTTAATACGGCTTGTTAAGTCTACATGTTAAGAAATTCGGCTTGTAGCGAGAGAGGAAAACGGGACGGTGGCCAACGCGGTCGTGTCGTTCTCTCGCCACATCATTATCAAAGGCGATTGCCGAAGCGGAGTGGCGACAGCTGCCACGTCTGAACCGCCCTGCCTGGTGCTCGTTCTCTACCGCTCGTGCCTCGAGCTGTCGCGTGAGCTGCACGAGAGGCGCAGCGCGGTGGCTCGAAAAATGACGTTGATGATGAATGGCGATGATGATGACGCTACAGGCTTGATAAGTGACAAAGGTTTCAAGCTCACCACCTTACATGATGCTTTCGCAGCCTGTATTGAATCAATAAAAATTGATAGTGATACAGAGCTTTTCGGTGGGCACGCAACAACTTCCCTTTCTTAGTAACAATTTTCATGTGACCTAGTGAAGCGCCATTTAAGAAGTAAATGACAAATAAATTAAAAACCACATGGAGATCGTTATTTTATCTACACATAATTTTTCTGTGATGACGCTCCACAGTTTTGCATTCTTTCTTCATCGTCCTGCAGCTGCACAGAAGCAACTCCTGTTCCCTGCACAAAGGAGCACACGCCGGAGAGATACCGAGCAGACGCCGCGACGCGGATGAATACATGTGCAGAGGCTAGCTTACCTTCCTATTGGCTGAAAGGCCTTGTAGTCTTGACAGTGCGGAAAGTAACTTATGAGATGGAGTATAAGCTGCACCGCACAGTGTTCCGAGTGCTCAATTTTGCGGGGTAACATAAGTACCAGACTCCAGCGGTACTGGGAAGCAATATTTGAGGTTAAGTAACGTTTCTATAAGCACCAATTTTGAAAACAGGCATTCTTGACCTCACAGGAATTTAGGCCCCAATGTCCAAAATAGACCTAGTAGGCCCTATAAAACATAATAAAAGCTCTTCTTATTCTCTAATTTATGCTCATAGGTCAAAATGGTACAATAGCACCGCAAAAAACAAAATAGGCATTTGCCTTTAATGCGGTCTGTGGCTATCAGCATAATCTCCGTCGTCTAAACAATCATTTACTGCTATTTGCCCGCAGTAGTTTTTACATAACAGCGTTGTATTTGCTGAGGTAATGAAATTCTTAGGAAAGTAAAATATTCTGTTGGCATTGAATGTATTATTCATATATACGAATACTGTTATACCAAGGCTTTAAATGGTTAAAGTTAATATTCTGATGGGTAAACCTGACAAATCTTCACTGGTCGCCGCGAAACAATGTGCTGCTCTTCATGCAATAACGGTTTTCCCCCTGGTTCTCTCAGATAAATCCTGGGCTCTTCGTAGTGTATGAAACGACGATGTCATACATGCCTTATTAAGGCGGTACAAACCTGCTACCTATCGCCCCTTGGCCTAGGAACAGCTACGCCAGGCCATATGGTCGTACGAAAAATGAGACTATTTCACGAAAAAGGTGGTAAAACACGCACCGCGAGACTTACGAACAGTTGGCGTTAAAGAAAGTACAGGAAAAGCGCACGGAATGTCCTTTGTCTGCTTTGTAACGTTGCTATTACAAATGAAAAGTCACTTGTACCTTCAGTGAACGGAAACTTAGTTTCAGTGATATTGCAAAGAAAGACTTTACAGAATTTTGAATTGATATTTTGGTAGCTAGTGTTGGCGGTAACTACGCTTGTTACGCGGTAAGAACAAATGTCAGGTGGCTAGAGGCGACAATGAAAAATTTTGAGTGGTTGCAAGGCTGCCATGACATTGTTTTTCCTACGATGATTGAATGTTTTTGCATAGGTATGGGATAACGACTCGAGCTTATGGTTCAATGTCACTTGAACATTACCAACATGTGCTAAAACATGTCATGCTTAGAAAACTCCGTGCAGCACAGGTGGTCTACATGATCATCGTAACTTGTTCGCGTAGAGCCTGCGAGACTAGGATTGCAAATGCACACCTCTTATTTGCTTTAAGTATGACAAGCGTAAGAAATAGTGCTGATTAGGCGAGAGCTCAGCGTTAGAACAAAGTATTTACCTATAGTCGTGCGCTATTCGCGCATGCACATGCAGCCAGAGCGGGTCAGCGTTGATAAAAGAGAAGTAGAAAGTGCTCGCTTGGAAAAGCAGCTCGTCGGTTCACGCTCGCACAAAGCCTAGGCGCTTATCGTTATGTCGCGTTCGAATGATCTGTTTCACAGCCCAAACATAACAATACTAAGAGAAATTTTTTACCTGTCCGCACCACAAGAGCGGTGACCCGGTTGTTGCCGTAGTAGCGCGTCTGCAGCACCTGCGTTCCCCTGAATAGCACGTGACGTCGATGGTGCTCGGCGGAGAATTCCTCATAACTTGGCAGCAAGGGCGTCTTCACCACAGGCACGCTCTCGCCTGCGACATTGTTGCACAGAGAGCAACACGAGATGCTTGCACCTGTAATGCTTCCCATCCCGTATTTTCAAAAGCTCATCGATTCCCAGTTACGCTGACTATGGAACCTAGGAAACTAAATCACAGTGAATACTTTACAGCAGTGGCAAACATTAAATTTATGACTGAAAGCTGCGAAAACTTGCGATACGTATCAAGGGTTGCAAGCACGCAAGTCTTCGCACATTGAGTAAGCCAGGAAAATGACCTCCAGTCCATTTATCACAGGCACGGAAGTGCCATAAACAAAAATATACGGACAAATAGGAAATAATTTTTCCTGGTGCAATATTTAGAGCTTAAGGGCAGACCAAGGATGTTTAATTACCCAGTTATCTGTCAACATTGGGCTACAGGCACTAAAATCGTGCTGCATCGTCTTACGGGTGTCTTACAATACACCGTTACATGTAGCGTCGTGTGACTTCTCGTTCTGGGTGCGTCTGTCCCTATAGCACAGCTTAAGCCCAAAGTTGGCTGCAGTTGTATAACATATAAGAGGGAGGAGACAGGACCATAATGTGTGCAGTGATAAAGACGCAAGGCTAAATGTGAGAATTTTAACTATAAAAGTCAATAGTATAAAGCGGCGCTTTATGAAATATTTTGAAAAAACAACAAGCACATTAACGCGTGACTGTAATAAAGCGATTGCTCATAAAGTCATTCAGACTGTGCTGTTTTGTAATATTTTGAAACTGTAATGTATTTATTTTTTCTTTATGTATGTAGCGCCTACAGCAGTATTATTTATCTTCGACATGTCATTTTTATGTACTACCTTTGATATTGAATACGGCACATGTACACGTGCATGTCTAAAGATGTTTGCGATAAATGGGGCCCGAATCGTTGTTAACTGGGAACTTATTTTCCACTTTTTACTTCGGGTCTTCCTCTATTTATTATAAAAGATGAATGGGAATTGAATATATCATGCCACGCGAAAACTTAGTCTGAAAGCTGTTGCAGTCCATGTTGTCGGTAACAAAAAGTGAATTGCCAACCAAAGTTAAAGTACCAACCAAAGGATGGTACAACAGTTAAAGATGCGAGCAGATGTACAGATATCTTGGGTGATTAAGAAGTTCACCGTGCAGTCACGGGAATCTGTAGTACAAACACTTAAAAAGGAACCGCCTTGCAAGTTTCTTGCGGTACAGCAATGTTTCGGGCCTCAGGGATGACTAACGCTCTGAAGGATTATCACCACCATTACTGCAGGATAGGAGCTTGGACGCCTGGTTAGGTGTTGATAGGGTGTGCTTTAAGTGCTCTCGAAATAGCTCAGACACATTAAAGCTTATACTCCGAATAAGAGTTTCACACGCCAGTTTTTGCGTGGCTGATGGACACAAGGAAAGAGAATGTGTGGTATAACCAAGTGATTTTTGCAACATCGCCTACTAATTTTGTGATGTGGTAAAACTATGCCAAGTTGCTGCTAGTTAGGACACCTAAATCATTCAATCAGTCAACAAACAAATCAATAAAAATTACTTACGCCCGTGCCACAAAAAGATAGAAACAGCGAATAAAAGTTGTCTCTGCCCACATTTACAAGGGCCACGGCAGCACAACGACAGTATCAATTTTTTATAACAAAACAATTGATCAGAAGGAGCAGTTGCACAATTCTAAAAACTGTGCATAATTTGGAAGCAAAGGCTTCAACTTGAGAACAACAACACGAGCAAAAATTATAATAAACAAGTTTTGATATAAGGGAAACGATTATATGCATATTAGTAACCAATTGCCTTTACGAATTTCAAGCGTTACATGCCTGGTGGACTACAAAACAGATCAAACTGAGATAGTGTGAAATTATTGATAAAGGAAGGAAAGGTATAGCACAAGTGTTGCATTAAAAAGTTTAACCAGGCGGCTGGTACAATTCATGTCTCCCCTTATCGGGTCGCGTAATTTTTTTTTCTTTTACAGGCAAGCAATCTTTCTAATCATTCTACCTTAAGGTTAAGTAGTGCACTTTTTAGCATGAACAACAGCGACAAGAAAGACACGACGCTTGCTAGAGTAGCGAGTGTCATGTCGTTCCTGTCTCTGTTACCTATGTGAAAAAATGCGCTACTTAACCTTACGGCATGACAATCAGTCACCAACTATCCCAGCTCTATACCATATTGAACTTCCATCTCTGTTAAGCACTCTAAATTCAGTTTATTTTAGGTGTAAAACTAGCACTTAGTCTATAGCGACACAGCTGATGAATGGTGATAATGTGAGCATCAATAAACGAGTCAGAAGTTGCTGATGATGATGTAATGAAGTTTTCTGGCGCAAGGGCCAAGGCTGGCCAAAGAACACCATGTCAATCAATGTTGGCATGTCGATGAATCATGAGTAATAATGTGTTAATAATATCGCGGCTGTAGAATGACCTTAAAGAGATATATACAACAAATGGAAGTTCGGTGCGTGTACTGGGGTGGGCGATGAGCTACATTTCTAAAATAGAATAAAGGTAGGTAACAAAAGATTAAACATTGCAATGGTGTTTTGTGAAAAGGGCACTAATGCCTCATCAGGGCCCTTGCTTGACCTCAAGAGCTTAGAGACATGTGCCTCTTAAATATACTGCAGCAGCAGCCTCTCTTGTGAGGCTGAGCTACAGAACTGTTTGGGCAATAACACGCAATGTTTGAGCTTCATTGAAAAAGCCTAAAATCGAGCCTGTGCTGAACAAGGGGTCTGAGCCAAGGAATAGCACTGTGCTGTAGTGGTATAATCTGTCTACACGCCAGGGGAAAGTACTTTCTTCTTAGTGTGTCAAGTTTCCAGCATCCCGGTAATGTGTGAAGGACTACTAGTGTCTCGCCGCACTCACTCCAGACAGGAGGATCATGGCCAAGGAGCAGGTGGGTTAGCGTATCGTACGTATGACCTATTTTAGTCAGCAGAGCGTGACCTCAATGCGTCGCACTTACAACAAGGAGGCCATTTTCTATCTGTGGTTTGATTAGGTGACGTTTGTTCAAAGCTCTAGTATCTCACAAATGCTGCTAGTAGTCCCTCACCTTTCTACGCATAATTTTTTTAAGATGTAAAGCAGTGAGACCTTTTGAAAGGTTTCTTGAGTCTGTTCCTATGGTAGTAGCCATTCTGTCAGCAAGCACATTCCCTTCAATGTCCCTATGGCCAGGAAGCCAACCGATTATCACATGTTGTTCTGCTAGATACGCTTTGCACATTAATGAAAAGAGTTCGACAAGAATTAGGTTTTTGTATGTTTTTAGTGATTTCAAAGTTTTGACAACACTGAGTCTGTATAGATAACCGCATTTTGGAGCTTCATACTATAAATATAGCTAACAGCAGAAAGGAGTGCATATGCCTCAGCTGTAAAAATACTCTTCTGTGAGCGCAACCTCTCGCATTCCGAGAACGATGGACCCAGAGTGGCATAGCACACGCCCGCGTTGGATTTCGATGCCTCTGTGAAAAATTCATAGCATGTGTACTTGGACTTTAGTTCTCGGTAACGAATATATATGTGTAATTATAGGGAGTGCTTAGTTACCTCCACAAAAGACGTGTCACACTCTAATACCTGCCACTGCCATGGTGGCAAAAGCCTCGCAGAGGGCACTAGAACATGCTGAAGAGGGACATTCTTTTCTTCACTTAGGTTTCTCACCCGTAATGAGAACAACTGTTGCACTGCAGGTCGGTGTGCATACAGCGTGGCTGAGCTCACATCATTTAGAGTGGTGTAAGCGGGAATCTGTGGATTGGATAGTATTTTAAAAAAGCATACATGAAGTTTAAATATCGTCTTTGCAAGTGAAGCCACTATTCGTCACATTCCACACGAACGCTCTCTACTGGACTTGTCCTGAATACTCCAGTAAGGAGCCGGATACCAAGATTATGAACTGGATTGAGCATTTTCAAAACACTTGGAGAAGCAGAATGGTAAATCACAGAGCTATAGTCGAAGCGTGTGTGCATTAGGCTTTTGTTAAGTTTTATGAGGCATTCTCTATCGCTGCGGCAAGCTGTTTGTGACAGTATTTACAGAATATTCATGGTCTTAAGACATTTGTTTTTCAGTTATTTTTCGTGGGACATAAAACTCAGCTTTGAATCAAAGATCACACCTAAAATTTTGTTCTTTGTTCAAGGGAGTGTAGTGCTCTTGTATATGAACATCGGGGGGACCAACTAGGCCTCTTTTTGGAGGAAAAGAGCGCAGGAGCTTTTCTGAAGGATTATTTGAACCCATTCTCATTGACCCAGGTTGACAGCTTATTGAGACCTCGCTGTATCTGCCGCTCACATACAGGATCACATACAGGACACATTATAGGATCTAAAGCCAATCAAGACATCATCGACGGAGACTGAATGAAACATGTTTCTTGGATTGAATGACCATACAGAGTTCAATTTAACTACGAAAACGGTACAGCTTAGTACTCATCTCTGCGGTACACCAATTTCTTGGATAAATGGTTTAGACAGAGCATTGCCTATTCTGACGCGGTAGGTGCTATCACATAGGTGTCTTTCTATTACGCTTAACATGTTGCCTCGAATACCAATTTCTGAGAGGACTCGCAAAATTCTGAATCACCAAGTAGGGTCATATGCCTTCTCCATATCAGGAAACACCCAAAAAATCAATTGATTGTGGATGAAGGCAAACCGAATGTAGGCCTCAATACGCACGAGATGGCCAGTTGTGGAGCAGCCCGGCCTGAAACCGGGCTGATACATATCAAGTAATCCATTAATTTCGAGAAAGTACAAAAACCGGCGGTTTATCATCTTTTTTAATAACTTACAAAGACAGCTTGTCAGGGCTATGGGCCAGTAACTTACTGCACAAGATGGTTCTTTGCCCTAATTCAGGACGGCGATTACAATAGCCTCTTTCCATGCTACTTAAATGCACCCTGCGGTCCAGACCTCGTTCTAAAGACGAAAGAGCACCACTT